CTGGTTTGATAAGAAGTAGAAAGTGTATATCCAGAAAAATGTGAAGATATATTGGAGATGAGAGGGTCATAGTAGATAGAATTCAAACAAAATATCATTAAATTTGATTTGGTATTTTATAAGATATCTTCTCTCAAATTATGAGAAATTATGGCGCAGCTTCTGTTTTGATTGACAGTTTGAGCGAAGATATCTTAGCGGTTGTCAGTTATCTTTGTCAATGTTTGAGAAAATTTTATTTGATAGATTGAATTTTTTAAAACCTTTGAGCGAAGATATCTCGACAACTACCAAGCCAAATACGTTGGGATTTTTTTTTTGAATTCTATATGTTCGTAGAATTCAAATAAAAAAATGGTTATTGAATTTAGTTTAATATTTGATGAGGTATCTTTATTCAAAGTTGAGAAAATTTATCGCTTTGAGTGAAGATATCCTGACAACTATCAAGCCAATTTGATAAACGTTTTTTTATTTGAATCCTACAAATTCATAGAATTCAAAAAAGCATTAAAAATTTGACTTGTGTCATGGTTATCGAGATATCTTCGTTTAAAGTTCGAGAAAATTTTGACGCAACTTTAATTTAAGAATTTTTTAAAACTTTAAAATATCTCAACCGCATCCAAGCCAAATTTAATTAACTTTCTTTATTTGAATTCTACTGGTTTGTAAGGAAAATTCACCAAATTTAACTTGGTGATTGTCAAGATATCTTCGCTCAAAGTTTAAAAAAATTTAAGAAATATAATACAAGAAAAGGCTTGAAATTTTCCATATTAGTAAGCTGCACAAACAACCAGCTCTTATATATTACTTGAAAAAGCATTGAAAAAGCGAAAATAGAAGAGAAATTTGAGGAATTTTTATTTGTTGGCAAGAAAGTTAGATTTATTTGATTCCAATAATTTGATGGTCAAAGTGAATTAAAAAAGAGCGATAAATCTTTATATGAGAATCTTGCTCAAGATTTTTACTACATTAGCTTACATCATATTATAAAAAAAATATTGATTATAATATTTTTCATGATTGTATATAAAAATATCTTTGTTACTATTAAATTTGATTACAAAAACTATATAAAATATAGCTTTTAATTTTTGTTTATAAGTTTCTAATAATATATTAAATACAAATATGATATTAAAAATTAGCTAATATTATATTTTGATAATAAAAAGATCACCAAAAAGCTTATTTAATATTTATTCTTGATTTTATTTTACTAAAACGCACCTATGGTGTTTTTACACCATAGGTCCCGTTTCTCAAAAACGTTGTGAGACCTGAAACGTGACCTGACGGCAGGCAAGTGCCTCGTGACCCGGCTATCGGTTCTCCCGGCCAGAAATTCCAGAAAATCCATTTCTGCCGGAAATGCCGGCAATGACAGAAATGGCAGAAACGGCGATTCTGGGATTAAAGGTGATTCTATCAATAATGGCATTTTTGGGATTAATGGGGATTCTGTAGATAAGGGCATTTCTGGGAATATAGATAGTAATGGTAGAATAGGTAGATTTTCTAAATAGATTGTTCATTATAAAATAAAGGCCTGTTGACCCTTCGGGAAAGGGAGTTAAACCCGATTTACCTAATAATAAAGTACCTAAGTCTATAAACATAAACTATATACTACATACATTCGTTTATTAAGCACTCGTCCGAATCTAACACGCCTCCTTCGACCCTAAAGTAACCTAGGTTTGGTTACACGGACCTCCTTTCGATTTAGCGACAGAAAATGTTCAGGACCCAAAAACCTCACGTGAACTGAAATCGGGACCTTATATTAGCTCTATAATATATTATATAAAAAATAATAATTCTTAATTTTCTAACCCTAACCTAAATTTTATTAAAAGAAATTATACATAGATGCTAAATCACCATAGGTGCGTTTTATAATAATTCTTTATTATAGTAAATTATAAAAAATTAATAAATAAAATTATTGTTAGTAAATTGTGTTAAAAGAAATTAAATAATAACAAAATATTAATTAAAATTTATTTAGACCGTTATAAAAATATTTAAGAATATAAAACTTTTGTATTTCTTAAAATAGAAGTGGTAAATAAAACTGTTTTTTTGAAAAAAAATAATAAGCCGGATTTTTCACTTTTGTAAACACGATCCTATCTACATACTATGTGTCACCGGAATAGCGTATTCTTTAAAGAATATTTTCAGCAACTCATGATGAAAATTAAGATAATTCAATGCAAATTAACCACATAATTTGATTACTGGAATGGCGAGTGAGTTTTGCAATAGAAGTTCTTGAATAATTCATAAAAATTACAATAATTCCAATAGTAATTTTTATTTTAGCTCAGAGTAGAAGTCATGATAATTCTGATTCAAACTAACTTGACCTTAACTACATATTATGTCTGACTAGAATAGTAATCCTGCAACATATAGAATTTTTTATTGATATGATAATTCGAATGACGAGTGTGTTTTGAACAGAATTTCTTACAATTCATAAGAGAAATTCTGATAATTACACAACGTCAAAATTATGTAAAGAGGATGTATAGTAAAATGATAATTAATCATTTCTCAAACACAGATCATGCTTTTCAAATGCAACCAATCAGAAACGTTAAAGTACATGACTCCAGAATTAAAGATAATAATAACGTATGTACATACGTACACACCGATAAAATAAATCATAATATCTGGAATTATCTGTTTTAATACAGTAGTACATTAAATATTTAATCTCATGAATTATTGCTAAAACAAGTTGAAGATATTAAAGAATCTGACAAAAATCTTACAATATACGATCAAACAAAATCGACTTGATTTAATTATCAGACATACAAACAAGTTATTCATATAAGTCGATCTTTGAATTTTCAAAAACTTACTAAGTCAGTAAATGCAGGTAAGCATATTAACTCTCAAAACATAGATCTTAAATTTATATTTTAATGCCTTATATAAATTTGAAACTAATATATATATAAAACAAAAATAAATAAAATTAATAATAATAAAAAAGATGGAAGAAAATTCTAAAATATTGAGTACTATTGCGAATCAAGTTTAGAAAATTCACCAAAACTAGAAATATAATAGTCAGGGATAATAGAAGTTGGTGAAGGGTTTGGAATAGATTTTATCAAATTTGATTGTAGTGCTGCAAATAATTTTCTAAATTTTCTAGACTTTGACTGGACAGAGATGTTATTGACAAGAAGATCGTTCTCCGTAGTAATGCCTAATATTCATATCCATTAATTATTTACATTGAAAAATTACTATATATAATTTATAATAACATACCTGTTAATGTTAATAAGGTAGTAAATCCATTATTAATCCCAAATTGAACATCAGTATCTAAGCGATCACCTATCATACAAATGCGTTTAGCATCAAATAATTGTAAATTTTGAATAATACAATCCATCATTGGTTTATTTGGTTTTCCTATTATTATATCTGGCTTTCTACCCAGTGCCATTAGTATTGAAACAGCGATCGTACCACTAGCTAATTACATATAATATTTCAGTACGAAAAAGCCTTAATAGTAAAATAATATGCAAAGAGCTAATATTTTTACCAGGGACGGGGTAATCGCAATTCCCTTGAGAATTAGCTTCAAGAGTGGTTGCTATGAATATGCAGTCAGGATTTCGACTTAAGTAACATAATGCCTTTGATAATTTTTGGTAATTAAAATTCTTATCATTCGCACAAATAACTGCACCAATCTATTAAAAAATAATAGATGAATATTAACTATTTAGCAGATAAGAAACGTAGTTCAGTGTAACATAAGAATTGATCAAAATACTTCTGGGTCAGGTGCTATATTTTCAAGATCAAATGTTGGATCTTGTGTGTTATTATCCTGTAAAGAATTCTCAAATTAACTTTTAATTACAAATAAAGGCAAAAAAGCAAACCGAAAAGGCATTAATTACTCTAAAACTGTGAATTCCTTCGCGAGCTAATTCTTCATCAATTGAAGTATCTCCAATAATATAGATTTTCCTTTTTCGGAAAATTTTAGAATATTTTTAAGATAATAGGCAGTTACAAAAGATGTGCTGAATATCTCATCCTGCTCATTGGAAGTTATATTTTAAGAGAAGAGAAATTATGATAAGAGAGATTAAGATAAGAGAGATAAGAGAGATAAGAGAGATTAAAATAGAGAAATTAAGATAAGAGAGATCAATAATCATGACAATACCTCATATGCTTCGATGTTCAATTTCTTGAATTTTTCAAGACAACCAGTACGACTTTTGCTAGCGTTTGTAACGAACAAAATTTTTTTACCTATAAAATAGTTGAAGTTATTTAAGATCATAGTTAAATGAATTATAAAAGCAATTTTAAGATTATTTACCTATCTTCCTCATATAAGATAAAGCTTTTTGAACACCTGGTATTACATGATCACCTCTCCACAAAACACCTATAGAATATTAATAGAATCAACAGTAGGGTAAATATCAATACGCATAAATATTAAAGAAGGTTATCTAATTAATATACCGTCACAATCAAGCAAGAACGTATCAAATTTATCAATAAATTTATCATAATCTTTTATATTACAAAGTTTAATCGGCCCTTTTGACATGATAAGAGGAATCTTGTCGTAAAGGGTTAAATTCTAGCCATTTTATACTAATAGAGTTTAATATTTATTCATTATTATAGGTTTCTAATTCTATAATTCATCAATAGAAAGTAGAATAGTTTGTATATGTTGTGCCTCAGCTTCAGATGTCGACTTTTTGGCCCGCATTAACTGATCGACATTGATTGACCTAAATTAAGCCCAAATCTTTCGAAGATTCTTACCCTAACCCAATCCTAACTTAGTCCGATTAACATCTGAGGCAAGCGTTAGTCTGAGGCACGACATATATACCAGGAACGGAGTGATATGTAATATCACGAAGTGTATGGTTGCTATGGCAATTTTAAATGCATGCGTCTGCAAAATCTTATACCTGATTGGGCAAAGCGCTAAACACAGAAAAAAACGTAAATTTCTGCATTTAAACATCACAATATGCATCACATAGCACTATATTTATCCATTGTATGAGAATTGTTTAGCCATACATCGATTTAGCAGGTTTTTGTCTCGATCTAAGTGCATAAAAAATGTCATTTGGAACTGCACTAACCAAAATAGGTCATGAAATGCATCTATGCTTACGTACGTACGTACTGTACGTGCAGGAAATTTAAAAACCCCTATGTAGCATGCCGAAATAAATTCCTAAATTATCGAACTCAATAAGCAAAGGGTCTAGAAATCTCAAATATCTTCGGATAAAAACAATAAGCAAAGATCAATATGTATGTAATAGCATGCTATTGAGAATGACAAATTTAGTTTATCTCCAATGAGTTAGTTAAACTTTATTCTCTATAAAGTGATTGAGATTTTTAGATTTCCTGCACCATACGCACGTATAAAAGAACATTATATTTCTATAGGTAGTAAAACTAGCGATTAAAGAAATTCTAATACTGTATCTAGATAATTTAAACCCGGATTATTTATAAAATTAAATTGAGATATCCGGATTTTTTTTATACAAGAGGAATATTGGTCAGAATAATGCTCAGTAACTGTGCATATCATAGTAATTCATTCGTTAATTTACGCTTAGTACGAATACATAGCATGTATAATTTAGTGAATATAATCCCTGTAAGGAATTTTATTCGAATATCTCCATTATTATTCTATTATTGTGAATACTCCGTGAAACTGCAACATGATCGACAAAATCTAGAATAATCTCCATGATTAAGGTTATAAATTCCGTGAATATGCAACATTTAAGAAGAAAACATGGAATATAGCACACGGATCGACTTTTTTTTTAGGAAATGATAGGATTATTACATTTTACCATACTACTGTATAAAAATCATCGGTAACGGTCATGTGGTTAGATAAATACCGGCTACCCAAAGGATCTAGAAATAAATTCAATTAAGACTTGAAGTCCGCAGAATACATTACAGTTTTAGCTAAGTAATTCGAACTAAATGATGATATTTTCTCAAATAAGATTATACCAGGTATAAGAACAATTGAGAAGCAATTTCAGCCGGTGGTTTACCACCAGCTCGAAGCAGGTCAGCTAATAAATACAGAAATATGAAATAGAATAGATAACATGGGGGCCCCACAGCAAAACAAGGCTTAGGGACATTTTACTTTTGTTAAATATTTTGTAATAATTTATATCTACAAATATAAACCTTTAAACTATAAAAATATCTGCTTGCTTATAATATAAACAAGCAAAATATTTTTATAGTTTAAAGGTTTATATTTGTAGATATAAAATTATTACAAAATATTTAGACAAAACTAAAATGTCTCTAAGCCTTGTTTTGCTGTGGGGCTCCCCACATGTGTGGTGTGTGAGAGATAGGTCAAGAAAGATTTCCGTTTGTTAATATATTACGATCAGTGACTTTTTATTATTAGATTCATTCAATTTAATGTTTATTTATTCTTTGATCCCAACCCATGTCTCCTGCTTTGGAGCAGTTGTATGAGTATAATAACCTATTCAAGCTCATATTTCTTTATAACATAGCATTAATTTGGTGCATGAATATTATGACGATCAAGCTATTCAAGCTCGCATCATTCATCATAAATATGCAAATTTACAAATTCCAGTGGCAAAGACACAGGTCAAATGCTGACTAATAAAAAAAAAGTCGTTTTTTTACAGCAAAAAATAAAAAAGTCGAATTTTTAAATGCTATAAATTAAAATAAAAATTTTCTTTAGAGATGCAATAAAACCTTAAGCATTAAAATAAATTTTAATTAGCTTTAAATTGGCAAATAATAAATTTAGTGACCAAATATTTGGATTTGGGGACAAAATATGAAGTCAAATTAAATTGGCTTACTATCAGTAGTCAAACTTTTCAAATATGGAGTAGTTTACAAATGCGCCGCAATGTTATATATTCAAGTGTCTGAATTCAATACTAGATATAACTATATCTATATCGGAATTATTCATCAGACTTACTGTATAAACGCGAAATAATGCCCAGAGGTGTAATCAAGGCCATTGCTCAAAACAATGCCTCTGGACGCGTTTTACTGTATATCATCCATTCCTGATTTAGCGTGACTGCGTCGCGCAGCTACTTATATAAATATCATGTGCAAAATATGTAACAAGCACTCATAATATAATATGAATTAAATTGGCCATTTGAATTAAATTAATTGTACTTAATAAAATTGATTTTCCATTCACCCTATTTTTTTTTAATACATCAGGCTTCTTCCAATACTCCTATTCGTCGAACTCTTGTTTGTTTACTTCTTCATTAAGAAAAATAATGCAGTGTGTACAAAGGGTATTTTTAAAAAAAATAAACAAATTAGTCAAAAAAATAATTGTAAGATCCCATATATATTCTCAAGTAACAATTCGATAAAATAATAGAAACTAGAGTAACTAATCACTTCACCAGGTATCACAGTACCACCAGTATTACCAATGTTGATTGGTGAAAATTGGTGACCATTGAAGATTAGTTTCGTCTGCAACTCAAATAGAAACCCAGGAATTCTACAATAGAAAGCTTGTTAGACGAAAGAAAAATATTAACAATCAGGTGATATACTGTGTAGTGGTCATCAGTGTTGCACATTACAAAGTCCTCTGCCAATATATGATCCAAAAAATGCGATATACGAAGTTATGCATACAGTATGAAATAAATACTACACCACTTTAATTAATAGGGATGCGTCATTGTGGTGGGCGATATACTATGTTTATTGTACAGGTCTTATGTGACAACCCGGCTTTTTTCATTTACTTATTGGCATGGGATTGTTACGTCAGACACCGTGCAATAAGATAGTTATTATATGGGTATATTGAATACACGGGTTCATATTTAAATCCCGTGCCTTCGGCACGGAATATGAACCCGTGTGTAACTGGGTTATTCATTACAACCCATACAATAACTATAAAAAATCAAAACTATATGTAGTTATATAATAAATTTTATTAACGAAAATTTTTAGCTAAGTAATAATTTTATAATTATTGCAAATTTCAAATGGATGCACAACCCTAACAGTTCGATAATTTGAATACAATTTTGCAAAATCCAGTGCTACATCTTTTACAAACAAAGCTATAGAGTTCTTTTGTCTATTTAAATATGAAAAGTTTAATACACTATGTTTTTTTTTTCCTTAAAAAAGGCAAGAAGTAAGGACTTAATTAGTTTCTTTTTTGAAGAAATAGCCTATAACTTTGTTTGTAGAGATGTAGTGTTGGCCTTTGCAAAATTTTATCCAAAACTATCGAGCCGTTAGGGCTGTGCATCTATTTAAAATTTGCAATAATTATTATAAAATAATTAGCTAAAATTTTCGTTAATAAATTTTATTATATAGTTTTGATTTACATAGTATATCGCCTACCCCATTGAGTCATGCAAATGGAGTGAGCTATGTGAGAAGTAACTTCTTGTAATAAATTTTGAGACAGGATTTAAATAAGGTAGTACGGGAAAGTTTTTGAGTTTTAGGAAAAAAAATGAAAATTGCAAGCATTTCCAAGTAGGGTTTCTATCGGACCTGATTGAACCAAACTTTAAGCTATGTTTATTTTTAAACCAAATCTGAACCAAATTATTTCTTAAAACTGGGTCCGATACCAAACTTTCAGAATAATCTGAGTTTGATCTGGATTCAGTTTGAAGGTTTGCAAACACGTTCAGGTTTGATGCTACCCACTTCATTAGGAACTACCCCAGTAGCACTGACAGATTTTCACTGATCGACATAAATTGACCAATTAGATTTTAAGATCAGGTGTAACGTGAAAATCATGCGTTTTTTTAAAAATTTTAAAAAATAGCAAATAAATCAAAATTTTATGTAAGAAACTACTTACTGTGCATTAGTAAAAAAAATTCCTTGCCAAATTTTGGTATAAAAAAAGCTCCGATGCGATCATAAGATCAAAACCTAAGCCTAGTATAATGGTTTGTTATTTTAAAAGTCGTTGTTTTGATCAAATCTGATTGGTGTCGATCAGTGAAAATCTATCGGTGCTACTGGGGTAGTTCTTCATTAGGATTCCCACAAATCTAACCTTGGGTTTAATTCGAAGTTCAAGCCAGACTCATACAACATCTTTTTATCAGGTCATAGCAATTGCTATCCAGGTGACCATACTACTTTTTTTACACCTGAGTGAAATTTTTTGATTTGTTGATTTTTAAAAATTAGATGATAATATTTCATAAAATTTAATCCAATCAAATATATATATGTATATATATATTTAGTTGTAAATTGCTTATGAATTCTTAATAAAACCGCATAACAAATTATAAATTATTACGTACTGTTGATTCAGAATTAGACTTGTAGATTAATTTTTGTTATATTTTGCAGGTTTTCGATTTTGCCAGTGTCGGTTTTGGGAAATTCAACAGCATTTAAGTATCATCATTCAAATAATTATTTATAACCGGATATTAATTAAGCTACTTATGAAAATTATTTAGTTACATTATGATCTTAGAATTAAAGTTGATATTTTATAAGTTATTTTATTTGGCCAAATGAAAATTTTTTATTGAAAACAATTCTAGCTAATTAGTAAAAAAAGAATCTTAGCTAAATATTTTTGATTTGATAAACAACTATTGTAGTTCAATTTTTTTAAAGAAAAATAAGTAAATAAATAAATTAGTATATTGACAAAACCCAATACTGCTTTTTGGCAAAACTTGAGCGGATCAGTCTTTTAACCAATTGATCCTCTTCAACAAAGTTTCTTGATAATGGGACAAATTGCAATGCAAAAAAAGATAAAATTGATATAAAGATTTCTTATACACAAGGAAAAACCACCCAAACAAAAATTGAGATTAATAATCTAAAATTCATGGGATAAGTAAAAAGAAAATATTTGACTATGTAATATAAAAGGATACGATATTGTAAAAATTTTGATATCTAAAAAAAATCCTACAATTGCACTCAAGAGCACATTACATAAACGCACATTTTATATAATTTAATTTAAACCTATATCTGAGAAGTTTGCTCGAGAATTTTACTAAATTGGCTTACTAATAAATTCTGAAAAATTTTCAGTATTATATATCTTGCTAATATATGCTTCTTGGGAATGGATTTGTTTAATCTGTTTTGGCCTAATATTATTGGCTTCTAAAAATTGTTTTTTGATTTCATTATCGTCTTCTTGATCTATTTTATCTAGCCAACGAGTGATTATTTCAATAATTTCTGTTGAAGTAGGTCGTTTATCAAAATCTTTATCCATACATTTCATAGCTAATTTAATATAAAAATCTGGTCCTAAACATTTAGGCCTTAATCCTTCAATAATTCTTGACACAAGACAACCATCAAACGGCATTCCATCAAATGCTCTTTGTCCGGTCGAAATCTCTGTCGCGATAACTCCAAAACTGTAAATATCTGATGCTTGAGTATACGGTTTACCCATCAAAACCTCAGAAGCTATATACGGCAGAATTCCACAAATTTTTCCTTCTTTTTCTTTTTTAGAAAGCCCGAGATCAGTAATATATACATGTTGCAGATTATCTCCGTGTAAAATGTTTCCGCTGTGCAAATCTCTATGAACGAGTTCCTGCAAATGAATCGACTCGAGATCCAAAGCTATACCGTATAATATATTCAGTTTATCTTTCCATCCCAATTGTGACACTTTCACAAGATTTTGCCGTAACGTACCTTTTGGTGCAATCTCCATAACAATAATATAATCACCAGAATAATTTCTTGATACTCCAAAACAATTCAAGAACGAAGGACTCTCGTAACCAATTTCGCAGTAATTCTTCAATTCCTGAATAAATTCTTGCACATTTTCGTTTGAATCACGAATCACTTTAAGTGCAACATACCACCACATACAATTAATTCTATCAAACCAACGTGCATAATATACAGTTGCAAATCCTCCTTTTCCCATTTCCTGAATATCTCTGAACTCATTATAATCAATCCAAGATAATTTAAATCTCTCATCATCTAATATTCTCTTAAGTTCAGTATTGATATTATCTGGTGATTTATTAGTTTCCAAAAGACTTCTATATTTTCTGAACCAATAATTTGCTTTCTGAATATCTCTCTTTGTACCGGTACCGTCTCGATAACAACGTGCAACATTATTCATTGCTGCTTTAGAACCCATATTAGCAGATTTTTTATAATATTCAAAGGCTTTATTATAATCTTGATCAATCCCATCTCCATATTTATAACAACGACCAATATTACAAATTGCTTCAATATTATTCAAATTAGCAGATCTCTTACGATATTCAAATGATTTCTGGTAATTTATATCTACTCCAATTCCATAATGATAACAATGACCAACATCATTCATCGCAGCCGGATTTCCTAAATCAGCTGCTTTCATATAATACTCAAAAGCCTTCTTATCGTCTCTCTTTACATCAATACCATGTTGATAGTTGTAAGCAAGTTCACGAAGCTGTTTGGAGTCCATTTTTTCAAAGGAAAAAAAAAAATTATTTTTATACACTGAGTAAATGCAATATTTAATTGTTTTGAGGGAGTGCAGCGGAGGACATTTAATGTTTAGTAATGTAATACAATAGTTACAACAATAAGTTACGTTTTTGATTAGTTCATTATTTGTCTTATATTGCAAATACGTAATTTTGAAAAATTTCATGCTTTTCTGCATGCATATAGTGTAACAAAACCAAATTTGTCTTAAAAGTCGTAGCCCATTCACTAAGCAAAAAATGTTCGACTGATAATTTTGTTATAGTTATAGTTGGCTATATTACTTAATACCAGTCCAATTCTGATGCTTTCCACCCGGATTTTTGACGGTTGCCCTTAAAAAATCTATCACATATTATAGAATAATTAATTTATTGAAATTTATTGTGAAAAAGATAATGGGATCGTCCTAAAAAGTTACTGTACTGTATGCACCTGGTAGAGGTAATGAACGGTAATCGCAAAAGTGATGCTTTGCATTACTAATGTTACTAATGTATTGTATTTTTTTTATAAAAGCTATTGAAATTTTAAATAATAATTTTAATGCTCTGAACTTCATTAAATGATATTTCTAACAATGGTACACATAACTAAAGAATTTATCATTTCAAATATAGGACTTTTTTAAACATCGAAATATTCATCCCTTACAGACTTCTAATTCATTAAGATGAACTGACAGAAATAAGGAAATATCTAAATATAAAATATTTTAAAAATTTTGCGTCACAATATTTCTTACATAAGTAATGATGCTCGTGTAAAATCCAATTATAAATCATAGAAAATATAACTTTAAAGAGCTGTACTACAAAATTTTATTTATTCAATTAATTCATCGGGAAAAATTTTAATGCTGTTCTGCGCAGATTTGCAAAAAAATAAAATAATAAATTAAATGAAAATCTGTGCAAAACTTCAGACTCACCAGCTATAGCTACAGAAATTAAATACAAATCTGTGCAAAATTTCAAAATATGAGATGCGGTGAACGAAGTCACAAGGCATCCATTTGTCACGAGATCACAGCCTATCCCCAGGGTTCCGAATACCCATTGGGTAGGGGTAAGTAGTTAATAGTGTGTGGCGTAGCAGGTTTAGTAGTAATTGTTTAAGTGTTGAGTTTGAGTATATTGTAAGTATGATGTATCGTGTGATGTAGGAGTTTGATGTATTATGTGATTGGTACCGGGTGGTAAGTATGATGTATTGTTCTGATTGATTAAGTGATGCCATTGTTCGATTTGTGAGTATGTTATAGTTTGATTGAGTATTTGTTAGCTAATTATATGAGCGCAGTATGAGGTCATAGTAAGTGGCTATTTAAGAGAAAAGAGTTTGGAAATCGGGTCTTCCTCTTTTGTCTTTGCTGCTAGCTCGACGAAAGTCTAGCTTTGTCGTTATTACCCACCCACCCACCACCAGGAGAGGTAGTTTTGGATATTTGTGGTAGTAGGAGGATAGGGTATGTTGGTAACCCGGGTGAACAACTCGGTTATCAGGGATAAGTGGGTTGATAGCCCAATCGAACAGATTGGATGTCAAAGGAGAGTAAAAAAAAAAAAAAAAGAAAAAAAAAAGAAAAAGGGGGGAAAGGAAAGGAAATTTGAGTGAAAAGAGCGATGCTATGAGATAACTGGGGACCACGTGAGCAGCGAGGCGATATCCCATATAGTATTCTTCGTAGTGATGTTCCATTCTAGACCCAGGTGATCGAGTGACAAATGAAAAATTTTGCAGTTTTTTGCAAAAAATCCTGTAAAAATCTGCATTTTCGCAGATTTTGTAGATTTGCACTTATTTAATTCTCCCGATGACTTTTGTGTTTTAAGTAAGAAAGATATCCTAATCTTATTCTAAATTGATTTATGTAAAAAAAATCTTTGTAAAAAGTTGTCAATTTGGCCCTTTTTTCTAGCACTTAGCCCATATCAATAGATAGACTCAAGTTGATTATGAGAAGTTGTAAAAAAAATATCAACATTTTAATTCTTTTACTCTTTTCACTAACGCGCGTATATGCAACGTCAAGACATTTCAATTTCTATTGACAAATGTAGATTTACGGATTGTAGATAATGTCGCATTCTTGATACGCTTTTTATTTAAACTAAGGTTAATAAGTTCGCGTAGACCTATTTTGGCATTTGAATATTAATGTATGCTCATCGTTATTAAATATTTGTAATAATAATACCGATATCCATAATTAAGGTTTGATCAAATAAAATTCAATTAAAATACTCCAAATCTACATTTATATGCATATAAAGGATTATTAATGGTTGTGTTTTTAATAATAATAATAACTATACAAATTTTATAATTTAAATGCCTGTTAAGCTGACATTCTAACGTAAGTCAAATTCGTTTCCAGACAAGGGTAAGAAAGTATGACTAAATAAAATAATTCACTTTCAATAATGAAAATTAAATTCGGTATTTAACTCCTCTAGTCAGATCTATTTTATTAATGGCGCTTTAATTCTATAAAGTACATATAATAATATTAATGGCTATACATAAACTATAGTTAATAATTATATGATTACAGCATTTGATAATTATAATTGTCTTACATTTTTTCACAAAGGTAATGCCCTCGCGAACTTTTATTGTCTTACATTTATTTATAACGAATGTTACAGAAATAGAAAGAAGTTCTTATGATCTATAAAATAAAAATATTTATAAATTGGACTTTCCGGATCCATTAATTTATAAATGTTCATTATTATCCTTTCTTAACTACGTCGATACCAGTGTTTCGGGCGAAATTAATTTTCAAATCCGAAACGTTTCGCACAGAGGAATTTTAATTTTGTCCTTAAGTCCGAAACCCTCCGAACCTAGTTTCGGCCAATTTGACCTGCAAAAGATCTGTAAATTTGAGTTTCGTCCGAAACACTGGTCGATACCTATTTTAACAACATCAATGACTTCTAATCTACCGATCTATAATTTTCCTATCGCAATTGATATTTCTGTGGATGTAATAATAATTGGAATTTTGTCCTTTGCTATGATTTTATATAAGAGGTCTAAAACAAAAACAAATTATATCTCGACACCCGGTGATAGTGTTCCGAAAGAGTCATTCTGGTCGGGTTTGGGGTTGAACCCGTATTTGTTCGAACAAACTCGGGTTTGAAAATCTCTACTCGTGTATTATTAAAATTATCCGGTTATCCGGTAATTTATTATAGCTCAATCTCTAGGCAAATTTTTTATCTATACTATACTTTCATGCACATTATACTTTTATCATTTGGGGCGTGTGTAATTTTTCGGGTTTTATGTTCTGGGGTCGGGTACCCGGGATTTTTGACCCCTTTCGGAGCACTACCTGGTGGCAATGGCGTTAGTTAATGTAGCCTTATATTTTTTATTAAGCGAAGCTTATGACATTTCTTTAAACATACTTGACATGTTTTTAATCACTTAAAATATTATCTGACTAATTTGAAAATCATTTTAAATCAAACAAGGCCTGTCGTTATACTGTAACTATTTACTAATACATTAGCACTTCTCTATATGCATTACGACGGGTCCATACGTAAAATTTTACATTTAGAGGGCTTTTGCGCTCATGACAGTAAAAAAAAAAAAAAAAGAAAGAAGGAAAACCCTAAGCACTCCATTATTAGTTAGATCCTAGTGGTAACGATCGCCTAGAAGCTTCTTACAATTACGGCAAGTTTATAGCATTATACCTGTGCCTTTAAATCTGACACAACTCAATTTCAAAGCTTTTTTTTAAATTTTATACATAATATATTTTTTTCTATTGTTTCGTAAAAATGTGATGCTGTTAGCGGCAAAACAACCGAAATTAGCTGCGTGAATCGTGACGAAAGACCCGATTCGATGCACCGAAGAGCCCACCACAAAATCGCGAAGAAATCGATCTTGAGAAGCCACAAGTGACGAAGAAAAGAATAATCGGAATTATGGTGGCATGAACCAAATTGGGCTTGGGGTACTGCCAAAGCTTCCCTATAAGAAAAGTGGTACGGGTTGTGGTTTGGATTTGTCTCAGGAATGACGAAATGGCGTGGTACGCATAGGCACGTTTTACGGAATGGCACGGGCATTGCACGTTATATCATGTCATACGGAACACGTTCGGATGACATGTATGTGTCGTTGCACACGTGTTTGCTCGTTTCGCGGAGAGTGAAAGATCAATAAATGATTTTTTTTTAAAAAAAGTGCAATATCTCATAATTTCACAAAGCTGCTTAATAAAAAAGATTCCTTACAAAATTTTACTTCATACGCAGTTATTATTTTTTTATTAATGTAAATTTTATGTTGTAATCATTAATCCACATGTTTGTATTTGTTATCGTGGTGGCACGTGAATTTACGTATCATTACCCGTGCCGATTTGGCTAGTAAACGGCTCTACGGCAAAACCCGATCCATTTACGGTCCAATTGGCACGGGTATTAGCATTACAGGGGCGACCGTACTCGTTACACAAAACGCAGATCACTTACGGAAAAGAATATTAAAATTTAAAATTTAAATTAATTCTTTGAATGTTATAATGACGTGAAACATGCTTTTTTTTTATTAATTTGTTTATATATAGCTAAATCAACTAACAAAATTCTTATGACCAACTTATCTAATCTAAAACACATCTATTTTGCATAATTCCTATGTATAATACGTACAACTATTGTTATTAGCGAAGATATTAATACTACGTATTAGTACATATATAGATAATTATACATCGATTCTTATTAACTTATAATCTAAACAATAAAAAAAAAACTATATAGTTAATTATCTATTATAATTCGCTATTTGGAATATTTCTATGTACTGTAGTATACATAATAATAATTAAATAAACTTATATACTTGATACCTTACCTTCACTGAATCGTAACCTCTTGGTTTTATTTTTTTTTCCTTCATTTTATATACAAAATTTAGTTATTCTGGTTGTTTTATACTTTGTACTATATATATTTTAAACGGAACTTTACTAAGAGGTAGCAACATAACAGTGTGGGATTAACTGGGATTAAAGAAATATGTTGTAGGCAGTGTTTAAAATTCAAAATTGATTTTATGTTCTCAAAAAAACATTTTTTAAAATTTTAATGTTCTCAAAAATATTTTAATGTTCTCAGTATTAGAAAATCAAAAACTTTTTAATATTAAAAAATTTTGTTAAATGGAGAACATTTTCCAGTAATTCATGTTCATAAAAATTGTTAAATGTTCTCTGAGAACACTGAGAACATCAAATTTTAAACACTGGTTGTAGGGCGGCTCGAATACTTGAAGTTTGCTTAGAAGACTTTTTGTCTTTCATAGCAGGATTAAGTTACGCGAGCTTCCTAAAAAAGTATTGTAAAACAATATAAAAAAGCCTTTATCAATTGTGTAACCGATCTACAAATGATGGGACTGGATATTAGTATATGGTCCCACACGGTCCACCGAATCCTACCAACTCAGACCATACCCGTACAAATCCGGATCTTGACTCGTGCCACAAAGGCCCGTGCCTATCTGAAACCAACCCGTGCCGATCCGGTACATTTTTCCTATAGTAGGGCTTAGCAAAGTTATGGTTGTGATCCTGCGCGATGGGCTTAGATTAGAAAAAAGTTATTTTTTTCTTTTGTTCCCCGCATGTAAGAGTTGGGGTTGTTTCGCTCTCTAATAAAAATAATTGAGTGGATGTTTGCATAAAAGTCGTTCGCTTAACCCACAATATACCCGATTTAACCTTTCCTTGTCAAATCAATACCTCCTCAACCAATCGAGTATATCGTGAGGTGTGGGTTGGGTTGGGTTTGTGTTTTTGTGGGTGATTAGTTGGTCTGTGTTTCCGCCCTTTTTGCCGTCAACATCACACCGGTAGAATTATTTTAATAAATTATGACGAGTTATGGCATTATGCTCATACGCAATTCAACTTCAATGCATGGTGTAAATCTTATGCACAACATATCCCTCCGTTCCTAGTTTCGTGTAGCTGCGCTGTGCAGCTACTTATTTGTTATTTACAATAGAACCTTCCTAAATGTATCTCATCTTCATAAATGTAATTTTTACAATGGTTTCTTAATGCATATAGGCGTTAGTATGTATAAATCATATTAAACGTAAGTACTGTAGCATTTAATGAGACTTGACTGATATAAAAACCTAGTTATTTTTTTTCTATTCTTATAGATAAAAATAACAAATATTTTGGCGTTGAAATATCAAAATTATCAAAAAACTATGCAAACTAAACCAGTTGACTGTATAATCACAAATGGTCATTGACTTTATTAAGAAAATATTTGAATATAGCGCTGCTATTTATTGCACCACTGTTATGGTTGATATTAGCTATATTCTCTTTACGTGGCGCAACAATTGATGGTGGGAGAATTAATACCAGGTCAACCGGGTATTTTGCTAGGCATAAACACCACTATTAGATACATTATTGCATCCATAATCACTTTAACCATAGCTGATGTGGTAGAAGATAGTCTAAGGTATTATAAAAACAATAGCATTCAGTTAAATGGACTCTAGTTATCATACCTTAGCTTTTTATGAATTATAGCTTCATTTCGAAATAGATCAAAGGGGCTTAGTCTGCTATGGATATGGCAATTGCGGACATTGCATTATATTTTTGGGTCACAGCAAAAGTTGCATTACAGGAAGGTCAACATAAAATTTTAAATAATGCAATTCAAATAGATCCAAAATGTGTAAATACTGGAAATAATTCATTCAGTGAATTAAATACTTGTGCTCATTGGGAAGATGTGGATTAAGATATCCAAATTATGTAAGTAAATTTAAGAAAAATTTAACCACAAACATTATGGGCTACTATATGAATGAGAGATTAGTCATCATGCCACGATTAAGTGATACGATATGAAATGGGAATTTTATATCATATACAATTCAAGTTAATTGTACCCCTGTTTCGACATTATGTAATTTAACATCTGATTTCTGCTCACAAGCAAGTATTAAGTGTCTTAGCAGCCTGTACAATGTGAATGGTAACATATTAAATACATCAAATATTTTCATTCCACCTGAAAAAATTGCTAGTCTTTACAATGTTTCAATTCCCGCTAGTTCAGACCAATTAGGAAAATTGGAATGGTTAATAAGCGGGCAATACGACAGTAATCCTTCAACGAAATATAATAGAGTTCGTAACTACATTACATACTCCCAAAGGTATAATTACATACTGTATCACCAATATAATGGCAAGTACAATAGACTTCTCTAAAAGTTATTGGAGTGTAAGATTATATTAATTTAGATGCTAATACAACTCGTGCTGTAAGCTATGGAATTTTTGAAATGAATAAAGAATTATCGATTGCACTTAAAGCTGCTTCTTTTAATAGGAGTAGTATGTTCTTTGCACAAGAGGCTGAGCGCCAATTAATACTGGAAATTGGTGGTATGTTAGCAAGTGTTGCAGTAGGTAACGTTGAGCAAAGCCTTGAAAAAGTTTCTGTTGCCGATAACATCACATTAACATGAATCGGAATAATGGCATTAGTTCTGACGGAATAGCATTAGTTATCATTCCTGTGATAATAGCTGGATGGATATATTGGTAAATACGATAAAGAAATTAATTCGAATGGTCATCGAGTTGTTGTACAAACTGTGATTGCTGAAATAATAACTGGTGCCGACAGAATAGTCTATGATGCTATAAGAGCCCCTTCCTGCAGAACATGTTTTAATAGCATTGTATTTCAACACCAATTGCTCAGTCAAGATCAAGCTGGTATAGGACTTAGGGTATTGTCTCATCAGCTGAGGACGTTGTAATGCTGGAACGCTTACTTCTAATGAATGATTTTATCTATATTTTTCATATTATTTTGATTTTAAATTTATAAAACAAAATAACCAATGATAACAAGTATTTTTTCAATCCAACAGAATTTATCTTTTAGAAAATTTCAAGTATTTAATTTTGGTTTGATGTAGACTGTTACTTCTTCACAGTATACAATTTATTAATGAACATTTATGGTGGATTAATGAATTCTATAGGCTTAAATATATCTATATTTTTTAACTTTTATGCAAAAATGATCGGTTGGAATTAGTTTTACTTTAGTGATGGTTTAATTTATTTCTACTACTAGTGCGATATGTGTCGCATTCCGCCACCCATCTAATTCAGCACTTTTAATAATATAAGTTATTGTAAAAATTCTATTACAGAACTATTATATTTGCAGTACACAAAGTACATGGTTAAGGCTAAGTTAGTTTCGTTGGAACTATCGTGACTTCTACCATGAATTACTGTAAAAAACTCTGCTACTGAGCCTGATTACTATTCAGATTATTGCAATCAATGTTGGAAATCTTATGTTCTCATGTTCTCACAAGAACATACCTTTAGATTTGAGAACATTTGATATTCTGTATTATAAAAAATTTGAGAATATAACACTCGAAAAATATGCTCTTTATATAAGTATAATAGCATAATTCCAGATTGAAATAAAATTAGAAATCGAGAGAAGTTCCTAAATCATTTAAAAAGAAAATGAATGAACATAAAAGATGAGAAAAGCTGGGTCATAAATTTGAATAAATGTCCGATATTTTCCGAAATAGGATATAAATAAGTATTACTGCTGAGAACATAAATAAATTTGGTTTAATGAGAACATAAATTTCAAATCAAATTCCTACACCGATCGTAATATGTGTTTAAGGTTGAGTTTATAAAAATTCTGTTAATGGACTTGTCATTTTTGCAACATAGTATGTGGTTTAATTAGTTTTGCATTATAATTATTGTGATTTCTATAGTGAGTTACTATAAAAATTCTGTTACAAGCTTACTCGTCACATTATATATAGTCACAAAATTCTGATACAGAACTTAGGGCACTGACACTTATTACGTAATATTTTAGGGGTGGGGCAGAGTTTAAAATTCAGCTCGAAATCTTCTTGCACAATTGCATTTGTGCCACAAGTTTTACTTGCACAAACCAACTACTAGTTGCACATGTGTGCATATAAAATTTTTTTTTATATGCACATATTTATTATCTCCAAACAGAGTTTAAAATTCAGATTGAAACTTACATGCACAAATGCAGTTGTATCATAGGTTTTACCAACTATTAGTTGCATATATGAGCATATAAATTTTATTTTTATATGCACTTATTAAAAATTACTATATCTTATATTTTTATTTGATTTTTTTTGAAATATTTTGAATATTCTCTCAAAATTTAAGTTCAACCTTGCTCGTATTTTATGTTTATTCATTTTTCTTTCGGACCTTTTCAGAATATCTTTATCATATCTATATTTTATATTTAAATTAAATTTTAGTGCAATAAAATTTTATAATTTCTTTTGCACATCATTTTTTGCGCAAGTTCCTTATTCAAATTTAATTGCACACTTGTGCATATACATTTAGAACTTTACTTGCACAAAAAAAAAATCTACTTGCACATGTGCATCTTATGCAAGCCAATTTTAAGCCCTGGGTGGGGTTAAGTACATACTATATCAATATCTTACATTACACAAAGAAATTAGTATAATTGGATTTTTTTAAATTGGGGAGCCCTCATAGTAAATAAATAAATGTCAGCACCCTTATTCAGTGACTGCAGTGTGTGATTAATAGTCTGTTTTAGAATTATTGTAATCTTTATCATAAGTTATTATAAAATTTGCTATAAAAAGTTTGTAACAAAACTTATTCACAACTTCAATATATGATTGGTTTGTATTGGAATTATTGTGATTTCTATTATATGTTGTAAAAATAAGAAATGATCCGGAATCACAAAATGTGTCTAATATGGATATTAACTACCATTAAAACTAATCTAAACACCCTAAACTACTGAATTCTACTGACCTTAATGGTGGTAGACACAAAAGAGGCGTTTAAGACTTGTTCAAGTTATTAGGATCAAATAGTGTTATGGGGTGAATTGTATTCTTTGATATGTATAAACACAAAAATATAGGTTTTTAGGTAATAAGGCAACTTGCCAGAGGCGTGATGATGGTGATTTAGCAATTGTTTAGTTTGTTAAATGATATTATCAAGGTGATTTATTCAATGTATTATGTAGGAAATATTACTATCTTGTAGGATCTATCTTTACAAGAGAGAAATTACAGGGTTTTTATAACTTTCACTATTCTAACAATCTCAAGAGGCGTGGGGAAAGATCAAGGAAGAATTACTATAACTAAGGGCTTACAATAATAAGTACAATATGATTATAATAATGAAGGCTTTGCCTTTACAATATTTTATATTGTAACTACTTCTAATTAATTCTTGATTCTTGTTTTCTTCTCTTTAGATCTTCATTTGTTCTTCTAGGAATTTTTCTTCAGATTTCACATAGGTTATCATTTCTATTATTAAGCCAGTAAGCCTCATATACTAGTTAATCAGGAATTGAAATGATCAATCTGCTTAATGTTATGAGTTTTATTGCACTGATTTCATCAATCTACCTTTTAGCTTGAGACATTTACCCAGTCCTATTTTATGCATACCATATATAAATATCTAAACTAAAATACTATATAATTTAATAATAATAATAAAGTAATAAACAAAATAAAGTAAAAAAAATATTTTTATTCTGATATTTCATCTCTTGAATGGCCATCATGTATCCTATATGTGATCAGTACTCTAGAAAGGATAACTCCCTTCACTAGTTTTGAACCTGGGTTACTTTGCTTATAGAATGATATCCAAACCAGTAGTCTATATCAGAATAATTACCAAATTTCAAAAATTAACTTCTTAAAAATATTATTTGTGTAGCTTGATTATCCAATCAAAAAAATTTTTCTTCATGTAATCTAAACTTTAAATTATATATTTAATTATCTTTATAATTTAATTTTTGATCAATATAACAAATTTTAAAACATAAAACAAAATAATAATAAAATAAATTTAAAAATACTTTGAAGTTAGAAAGGGAATAACAATTATTATTCAAATCATCAAAAGTAAGAATATAATAATTAAATAAATAAATATAATTTATGTATAATAGTAAGAATGTAGATAAGGGTAAGCAAAAAGAAATAGTTAAGGATGTCGAAGACATTGAAAATGTGGAGAATATAGAGGAGAATTGGTAACAATAATAATAATAAAATTTTAAATACTATAATTTAATATAGTACTAAAATTAATCTAATATAATAGGTAGTTTTGGAGAAAATAAAGAAAAATCAAAAGTTATAGTTAGAAAAAAAAAATAGAAGATTAGAGAAGACATTAGAGAAAGTAATAAAAGCAGAAAAATTTAGAGTAGAGATATTAAGAGGAATATTAAAAGATCAAGAGAAAAAGTATAATGTTTTAAGTCAGACAAAGAGGAAATTTGAGGTAGGGTATACTGTATTAAGAAATGATATAATTGAGGTGTTAGATACAATAGATGCAAAAACAGAAAAAAGTAGAGAAAGACAGAGAATGAGAGAAAAATATAATATAGAAGAGTTAGGTGAAGAAAATGAAGAAGAAGAAATTGAAGAAGAAGATTATAATTATAAAATTTGGTTAGATGAGAAGTTAAGAAGATATGAGGCTATGTTAGAAGAAGTGTCAAAGAGTAAAGAAGAAAGTAGTAGTTTTCTGATAGTGTTAGATGATAAAGTTAGTAATAGTAGTAAAAGTATGCAGTGATAGTGGAATATAAATATTTTGAATAAAATTTATTAATAAATTTCTTTGTCTTGCTTGTTATACAATTATTTACTATAAATTTTTATTTTAAAGTTCTTCTTTAACTTTTAAATCTTATGTTTATTTGTATTTAAAATTAAACTCTAAACTAATTTGACTATTGAGTTAAAATCTTAAGATTTTATTAATAACTTAAATAATAAAACAAAATAAACAAAATAAAATAAATAAATAAAAATATCACTTCCTATTTTATATAATTCTTCCAGAATTATATCTCATAATTGAATCTATTGAATTTAAATTTTCTAAACTATTTATTGTAATAGTTTAAATAAATATTTGATATTTAATATGATATATATATTTAAAATCTTAATATTGAGGTGTGGCGACTTAGTGTAGTGGTCTAGTCGTCACTCTCTCCAAGTGGCAGGTCTAGAGTTTGAATCCCACGGACGACGAATTTTGAAAAATAGGCTTGCGTTACGGTTGACGGTTATGATTTGGTTGGATCTTAGATAAATCTGTAACCTCGGTCACACCATCTAGTAATGGGAGCA